GGGGGGGGGGGGGGGGGTTAGAGCGACGGGAGCACGTCTTCGTGCCCTGCTTAAGCACAGGGACAACTGTGTTCCTTGCTGGAGACGGAACCCAAGTTTCTATACACCACAATCCGTCGCAAGGCAGAAATATGCCTGTGACGAGCCAAATTTCTCTGAGAGAAATCTCCGTGGATGCCGGGACGCGGGAACCTCAAAGTGTCAAATCACCCCCTCCACGTCGATGAGAGACAGGCGGGCGGGTGGTCCCTTTGTGGTTCTGACGACGAGCAGCTGGTCTCACCTGTCACCCCCATCTGCCCGAACCACTGAGAAAACTCGGGCTGTTTCGGAACCCCCGGGCTACTTCCCTGAGAAAATGTATTGCGTGCTGCATGCACCACCCATGTCATCTTCCTGCATTCTGATCATCGGAGTGCCATGTGGTGAAGACTACTACAAAGGGGCTTGAAAGCTTTGAGGGAGCCGGGCAATTCTTTCGGCGCAGTAAATAAAGACACGTTCATGACGCAAGTTCGCTGCGGTCCCGCTCAGAGACGCCGCGGCTAGACGGCAGTCTGCACTCGTCGCCATGTCTACTGCGCGAACAGGAAGATCAATAGCCATCAGAACTGGAGCAAGATTGGCTTCTCCTCGTCGCCTGCGACGACCACACATCAACTGCAACTGCGAGTGCGCTGGGATTTGTAGCAAGAAGAGCGACCAGACAATTAAGCTAACCAGGCAGGGGTGGCGTCTTGCGCAAGAGCAAATTCTCGATTCTGAATGACCCCCAAGTTGGAAAATGTGCCGCGTCGTACACACGCTCGTTAACATCGCAGTATCTCTTCAACGCAAGACTTATTCATTGACACTAATTGTTCCCCAGAATCGAATCCCGTCAATACAAAATGTTGTTTACGCAGCCTCCATTTTATACGAAGACTTGCTTCACCAAGTTGCGCATTTTTCTAAAATCCATTACCCTGCATCACTTTATGGCCCCGTTATTAAGTGGCGGTATTGCCGAGACCACCTCAAAAGTTCGTTCAACAGCCACGTTTGTATAACCGATTCTGGGAAAATAAAAAGCAGACTTTAGGGAAGACCCCAACGGCATGACATTCATATGTCGGTCTCCTCCCGCAGCGAAAAAGCTACTTAAGAGTCCGCAGTTCTGTGAAACGCTTTCAGTAAAAGAAATAAGGAAATCCTATTAAAATGCAATGGATTTTCGACCTGAAGACTGACCAGTCACTGCAGCGCGTACAATAACAGAGCAGTTTTTTCCGCAGTTGTATTCGCTTGTACAACAAGAAACCAACCAAAGAGTCAATCCGGACAAAATCACTTCCTTAACCTCGCAGAACACTGACGTCATTGAAG